AAGGTGAGGTGGGCAAGGGGGGGGGGTTCACCTGCCACCCTGAGCACGGACTTGTCTCCATTCATTCCTTCCTTTAAGCTACTGTCTTCAGCCTCATGGGAGGAGGACACAGGATCCCCTTGATCTTTTTTTTTCTCGTGGCTGTTCCTATTTCTCTCTCAGATTGAGCGGAGCATAGTTCCACCAGTCTATCTCTTTCTCAGACTCCCTGATGCCCCTTAACCTTTCTACTTCCTCTCGTAGCTCTGCCACCATGCTAAGCAGATTGTCCATCTGGTCACACCTCACACAGCTGAATGAAATTCTGCTTAATCTGTTTTTAAACATCCTTTATTGTGTTGTTTTAATCTGCACAACTGTATTGCCAGTGAAACATGCTGTTATAAATCACTACACAAACATGAAACCTGTTTTCAACGCATTATGCTAAAACATTTCCCAGTAATGGAGTAAAGATTTTATTTTGCTGATTCAGGAGAAAATAGGCCAACCAAAATCTTGACATTTGGAGAAAGGAAACCCAAATTTCTCCATTCACAGCAAAGTGATACTGCCCAGAGCTCCTCCTTTTCTTAGAAACATAGTCCTGTGATTAAACAAAACCCCATAATTGAATCAATCACACAGCAAAGGCACTGCTGAAAATTAATGTTATATGGCTGCAGACAGAGCCCTGTGAGTCACTGCTAGACAAGGAAGTAGGGAGAAGGACTGTCTTTAATGGACGTTGTGACTGCTGTTCTTTCAGACCCACAGACTACAGTAAGGCACCTTAAAACCCACCAAAACCACCAGGAACTGAGAGCAGCTGATTGAGGCAGCAGTCAAAACCAGAGGGAATGAGAAATAAGGGCCGACTTGCAAAGCCCCTGACTGGACCAAGCAAGGTGATTTTGCTTAACAGGATAAAGCCTATAAAAACACAAAAAGAATGAGAGCAGGAGAGCAAAGCAGCAGAAGAGGGAGCATCCTAACCCAGTAACATCGAGAAAACAGTGCAAGGACCTGACGAACAGCTCGAGACCTCAACTGCTCTGAAGCAGTGAATAACACTGATAAATCACACTGTGTGTCACTTTGCTTGCTTGTCACCCATGATCAGCAACCTCAGCCTCCAACAGCCAAGGCGCAGCCCAGGTGAGCAGTGGCATGGCTTGCCACCCTGGCTGGGCTGCAAAGTCTTGCTGTGAGGTGGAAAAAAATACTCCCTCTCCTGTGGATGGGGCCTTCATCCACTTACTTTTTGCATGAAGAGATGAGGAGGCTGTAAGGGTCCTCTGGATGGTGCAGGGCCAGCATCCCTCATGGGCACAGCAGCTTGCCCAGTCTCCGCTCGACCCAGCTGGTTTTGCCCCACGTGTGAGTGAAATGACTCAGTGAGCTGACTTTTTTGGGGAGGAAAGGGGGCTTATTGCTCATGGGCAATATTTCTAAGTACTTCTGCCATTTGGCCCTGTCACCCTGGCACACAGACAGCCAAGCAAGGAGGTGGCCAGCTGTGCTTGTGAAGAGTTTCATTTCTGTTGTTCACTGAACAACAGGAGGAAAGTTGGCTGGCATATAAGGAAATGAAAGGAAAAAACCAGCATAATACTCTATTATTTTCAGAGCTATCATGGAGCAAATTCCTTTTCATGTCAGAATCGGTTTCATTTCTCCTGATTCTTGTCACAATGTGTAGGTGGAGCCCATAAATAAAAGAGCACCAGAAGAATTCCCTGCTACTCCTTGCTATGGGACACTACACAGGTAAAAGTTTATCTTTTCTTTCTTCTAAAAATAATAATAATAATAATGCAATTTTTGGCTGTTATCTTCATTCCTTTTAATAGTTGCATATGAGAAGGCTGCATACAGTCTAAAGCAAGTGTGGTTAAACAAGATTGCCAGGAGTAGGATTGTTGTTTTCTGGGGTGGGGAAAAAGATGAGACATTAGAATTATTTCCTTTTTAAAGGGAGACAACTGAGACATGGCATTTAAATTGGAACACTTTTTTAAAAGTATGTACTGTGTGAGGGCAGTGTTCAGCAACATGGTCTAGCTGACCGTACTCATGTGTAGCATCATAAGCTTTGCATTGCTTCATCTTTTTTCTGAGAAGACAGCTAAAATTAAAAAATATACAACCCAGAGACTGCATAGTTTACCCAAATATCCTGCAGTCACAGGATATGTCAGGCAGAAGTCTGTGCAGTCCTGTGGCTGGACACAGAGTGAATAAATGCAAAAGCTGTGTGGGTTCAGCGCTGCAGGTTTGTGCTTTGGGTTTGACAGAGGATTTTATTATTACCCTTTGAGATGCAAAGCCAGGATCATTAGAGAAAAATGAGACAACTCCTGTTCAGGACCATCAGCAGGTTGGTGCTTCATGCAGACATGGTTGCGTAGCGCAGTGCTTCATGTTGTGCCGGGGACGGTTTCTGACACGCAGGCGGGTAAACGTCTAAAGGTAAGGTTCAAGGAAGCCAATATTGTCTCGAGGATGGAGGCAGGGGCTTCTCTGGTGAGGGAGGTGTTACCAGACTTTTGGTATCAGCACGTCATCCTGGTGTCACATTTCGCATATGGATTCTGGCCAGTTTCAGAAAGGCACTTAAAAATTGCAGTTCTTCGTTTCTTCTTTCTTTCTTTCTTTCTTTCTTTCTTTCTTTCTTTCTTTCTTTCTTTCTTTCTTTCTTTCTTTCTTTCTTTCTTTCTTTCTTTCTTTCTTTCTTTCTTTCTTTCTTTCTTTCTTTCTTTCTTTCTTTCTTTCTTTCTTTCTTTCTTTCTTTCTTTCTTTCTTTCTTTCTTTCTTTCTTTCTTTCTTTCTTTCTTTCTTTCTTTCTTTCTTTCTTTCTTTCTTTCTTTCTTTCTTTCTTTCTTTCTTTCTTTCTTTCTTTCTTTCTTTCTTTCTTTCTTTCTTTCTTTCTTTCTTTCTTTCTTTCTTTCTTTCTTTCTTTCTTTCTTTCTTTCTTTCTTTCTTTCTTTCTTTCTTTCTTTCTTTCTTTCTTTCTTTCTTTCTTTCTTTCTTTCTTTCTTTCTTTTTCTTTCGTTTTCAAGGCTCAGTACACAAAGAAATCACTATGCCCGCATGGCGCAATGAACGGTTGCACCACCCTGCCTAATCTTTTTCAGGTGCAGGTGGAGAACAGCTGGGTAGCCCCAGGAAATCACACAAGCTGATTCACTCCGCTGCTTACTGTAGCCTGTGTGTCTCGTGTGCACGCTGTGGTCTGCACTGTAGACTTAGCTAAAAAACCTTCTACACACTAAAATATTTCAAAGTTGTCACTTTTTTTGCCAGTGTCCTTAAGTCTCAGTTTCTCAGATGTCACAAGTTTATCTTGCAAGATATTTCTTTTTCTTTTTGATTTGTTTTTCCTGGTGGCCTTACTACACTGGTTTTATATTTCATTCTATTCATTATAAGGATGGCTAAATCTTGCTGTATAACCTCTTTCTGAACGAAACATATCCATGTTTAGGAGGCCATATGCTAAAACCAGTACATGAATAACTCTGAACACAGCCCAATTACTATAAATAATAATGTAAAAGGGACAGAAAAATGTTCCTGGGTAATATTTACATTAAATTAAAAATTTGTAGCAAGTATTCATTCCATTAAATGGAAAGGCAGGTAGAGAAAGGAAGAGGTGATAAAATGGATTACTGTTAGAAACATCATTGTCAGTGAATAGCAATAGAAAATCACAAAAGGATCTGGTGGCAGGGGAATGTATGTTTATTGCAGATAAAGTGCTGAGTTCTCACTCAAGGAAGAAAAATCTTATATTTCATTAATAGAAAGATAAAAAAGTTCATACTCAAGTATTAAAGAAAGAGAACGTATGGAGAAATATGAGGGAAGTGTAAAATAATCATAGAGCCATAGAAGGGTTTGGGTTGGAGGGGACCTTAACGATCATCTAGTTCAAACTCCGCTGCCATGGGCAGGGACACCTTCCACTATATCAAGTTGCTCAAAGCCTCATCCAACCTGGCCTTGAACACTTCCAGAGATGGAGCATCCACAACTTCTCTGGGCAACCTGTTCCAGTGTGTCACCACCCTCACTGTAAAACATTTCTTCCTTAGATCTAATCGAAGTCTGCCCTCTTTCAGTTTAAATCCATTGCCCTCTGTCCTATCTCTACATGCCCTTGCAAAAAGTCCCACTCCAAAGAAAGACCTATAAAGAAATTAAAGTAGTTCAGTCATCTTTTATTACTGGTCAAAGCTGAAAAGTTTCTACATAAAGAAAAACTGAACAAGAAAATAAAATACCTCCTCGTTCTCCTTTCTCTAACATCATGTCAAGCAAAGTCTGCTTTTCAGAGAAGGTTTTAAGCTATTGAAGGGGGGACTGAGATACTGAGCTTCTAAAATAGGTGCAAGACTTGCCTCTGACAAGTGTTTCTACTGCCAGAGAGGCAAGTTGGCTGTATAGCAGACTATGGCTTGCTGTGTCCTGCTCTTATTGCCAATGGCCCACCCATGTAGACCTTCCTTGTGCAGCCACACAGCCCTGACCCTGGGACACTGAAGTTAAGCTTTCGCACACTCTCTCCAACCATGCCCAGCAACTGCTGTACTGACTGAGCTTCTCAGAACACCTTTCAGCATAATATTTCATTGAGGAAAACTGTCTTTTTGCAAAAACTGGTGTAACTTTTTTTTAAAAAAAAAAATTGTTTGTTCTGTGACAACTTTTTTTTTGGAAACACAAAGAAAGCATAAGAGAGGTAAGGAGAAGTGTTTCATGTCTATCCTCTAGAGAGCAATTTTAGTGATTTGAAAAGAGCTGTGGAACTTGGTATCTACTGAGGATTTGAATCAGTAAAATAAAAGTGATGTTTGATTTTCTCTGCTATGATCACTGTTGCGAGCTGGAGTCACTCAGTGCCCCCATGTTTGATTTCAGAAGCTGCATGAAAGAGCCATTGGACCAGACAGTAATCACTATTTAGTGAAGCACTTATGTACAGCCGATGTCATAGGCCCAAGAATCATCAGGCCATGGATAATAACAGTAAAGGGTTCCAGCTTCCTCGAATAAACAAACCTGGCCTGGTTTTTGCATCACCTTCCCTACAACCATCTTTAGAAGCTCTTGGAACGCCTCTCCCACTAGACTTAGAAGATGATGGTCTTCTGAATTCGGAGAACATGATTGAAAGAAAGCCTAACTATGAGTGGGAGGAGTTGAAGAAACACTATCATGGAGAACAGGCCAAGGTAAGGCAGATACCAGAAGAGGGCATAGATCCTCCCACAAGACTCTTGGTCTTGTGTTTCACTTTGTGCCCCAAAATTAATTGCCTTGTCTTTTTGGGCAATCTGCACTTGTTAGGTCTAAGCAGAGAAGTACTTCTGGGATCAGGGCCAAGCAGTCATTTGTGTAACTAGGAAGTACCTGCAATTATTCTACAGGCATAAAAAAAGCAAGTGTAAACAGTAGGATGGCAGCAGCCTAGCAGCCAATTAAATGTGCGACATGTATTTGTTTCATTGATAACAATTAGCAAATATTGAACAGAAATCCTAACATCTGAGATATTTTTTACTTGAGACTACTACTTTCAACAAAAATACGAGGAAAAATTAATTATAACCTATGTTGAATATTTGACACTGAAAACAGATTGGTTTTAAGTTTGTGTCATAGATAATGAAGTTCCTTGAGAATGGTTAGGATTTCCTAGTAAACATTGTAATGAAGATAGTGGGGAGGGGTTACCAAAAAGGTTTTAAAATACCTGCTTCCAGTAATGTGTGCCGTCTTTCTCATCTTGAAAGAAAAATCTGCTCTGTTTGATTACATCTGATTGAAAGACATATTTTCAGAGACGGCTTTCTTAGGCAAAGGTGATGGTAAGAAACTTCAATTTTTTTCTCAAAAAACCAAGTATGAATGTACCTGGCCCGTTAGGGTCTGTAAAATATTGATGTTCTCAAAATTGCATTTCTAAATCCAGCAGTCAGACTGGAATGTGAAGAGAGGAACAGGGAGAAGAGACCAAGATGATCTTTATACACTTTAGCTGGTCATATTTAACAGCAGACGGATGAATTTTGTAAAGAGCTGGAACAGTTTGTTTTCATGAAAATGAAGAGCCTATGTTAATATCTGGCACCTGTTTCAAAATTAAAAAAAATTACAATAATCCGTCATTTAAAATGAATCACTCATATTCATCCCTTACTCTAGTCTAAAACGAGGCAAAGAAAGAAGAGTCATGATGATCTAAAAGATTTTAGCCACCTGTTAAAGATGCTACAACAGAAGCTTTTGATGTCTGTACATAAACTGAATGTTCAAACTTCAAAACAAATATTTAATAAGCTATTCTGTACTAAATTCTCTTATTACTGGGACTGGTCTTCATTTGCTTACACATACTTCAGTACATCTGTCGATGAGGGGAAGAAAATGGCAGTTATAAAAAAAATAAATTAACAAAGCATGCTTAGTAATGAGGTCTCCTTTTACTCTTACTTTCTCAGGATAGCTTACAAAGTTCAGTATTTTTACTAAGGATAGTCATTGCACAGGGATACCAGTACTTAAGGTTTACTAGAGAATGATGAGCTGGAAAAGATGCCTAAAAGTTGGTTGGGTTTTTTTTGTGGAAACAACTTATTTTAAAATTATGGATAATTCATTGTAAGTTTAACTCTAGCAGGCAGCAGAACATGCCTTGTACAAACAATATGAGGAAAAGATCCGACCCTGCATTGATCTCATCGACAGCCTAAGAGCTCTTGGAATAGAAAAAGACCTGGCTTTGCCTGCAATCGCAGTGATCGGAGACCAGAGCTCTGGGAAAAGCTCCGTCCTAGAAGCCCTTTCTGGTGTTGCTCTTCCTAGGGGCAATGGTAAGAATTCACCTTCTCAGGTTTTCACCTGAATTTCACTTGGATGAGGTGGGAGGGATTTTTTTTTTCTTTTTTTGACCTAGGGTTGAATAACTCCATGACTGAGACTGTATCTAAATTGTGAGACTCCAGGGGCCTTCTCAGCTCTGGTTTCTCATAGAAGAAATGGATGTGCAGGTGGGGCACTGCAGAGTAACTCCAAAAAGACACATGTTTTGGGTAGTCAAGAGACCAGGAGTAAGAAGAGTATAGTGTAGCATACTTATCAACTTGACCGTGGACAGACCGAAAGGCAGCATCAGCTGACTCTGTGCATTTCCCAGCAAAGAGTAGTGCAGCACAGTATCAGTTGCACATCAGTTTTGAAATTTGCTTTTGGGATTGGTTTGGGTTTTTTTAACCAGATTTTCTTACAGGTACATTTTTTGGCAAAAAATAATGTACAAGGATCTTTACTTACAAGCATGTGCCTTGGATGTTATTTAAGTCAGAGAAGATTGTCAGAAGACTTTGCAGTTCAAGAGGATTCACTTTCTAGCTCTGCATATGTGTGTTTGTGTATACACACACATATAAGTTCTGCGAGTTCTGTATGAGTTAACAATACCATCTAGTTTTTCAGGCTGGACTTCAGGAAAACATTCTCATAGGATGTAGGTGCAGCACTGAAACAGGTCACCCAGAAAGGTGCGAATCTCCATCCTTGGAGATTGGCAAGACAAGATGTGGCTGGACAGAGCCATGGCTGACATCATCTAGTGCTGGTGACAGTCCTACTCTGAGCGGGAAGTCGGATGAGAGTCCTTTAGCAAAATCTCTTGGAACATTCTGTCTCTGTGCAAAGTATTAGGCAACCCTGCGTACGCCACGCGGTCCATGGCTGCGTATCATGCATAACAACTTCCTCTGTCTTTGGAACTGCTGCAGGTATTGTTACTCGATGTCCCTTGGAACTTAAACTGAAAAGAATACCTGCCAGCCAGGCATGGAAAGGGAAACTTTGTTACCGCAGAAACTGCATAGAGCTCCAGAATGCCTCTGAGGTGGAAGAAGCAGTAGGAAGAGGTGAGTTGTAACGCATTCCCCTCTGATTCGGCTTGCTCAATCTCCTCTGAATCCTTTCTCCCCTTTTCTTAGGCTGAGCAGCAGCCCCCAGACTAACACAGTGATTGCAGCCACCAGTAACGCAAGAGCTGAATTCAGAGCAGAAGACGGTGGGCATAATGTCGTGGTTTAGGCTGGCCAGCAACTAAATGCCACACAGCCGCTCGCTCACCCTCCTCCATGAAGATG